CTTCCCTCCTGTCTTGTCCACTAGGTGGAAAGCTGGGTTAAGTTACAACATAACTTATCACAGCGATTGGAATGAGTATGTCAGAGCAGAGTGGCAGCAAAGGATGGGGCTTGGACAACAAAAGATTGGGAAATAGCCCAATTGTCCCTAGGGGCAAAAGGAAGGGCAACAAACAAGGGTACTGTTTAATCTGTACAGTCAAAAGAAATCAACTCTGTGCACGACCACATGGCTGAGAAAAACAGTCCACCCTTGAGTGACAAGCCCTTGTCCAATATTATATTGGAGCCAGGTTGAGATCTGGAATCCATGGACCGAGAAAGGTCCTGGAGGACCATACAAAGTGCACACAGTAATGATTTCCCCATCCTTCTCAGAGGATCTTTTGCAATTACCTAGAAAATGGGGGAACATCAAACATTTCTTAGTAGAGAATGGCAGACATAAGAATCCAGCGTGTCTTATTATGCTTTAAATTGATATTTGCAAAACAAAATAATACCCATTTTTTTATGCTTTTGGCTGGGATGATTATTTTTCATAAAACATATCTTACATTAAAATGCACTGGGTTTATTTTGAATGGTTTAATAAATAATGGCTTAAAAATTCTTTTTGATTGTTATGTGGTAAATATCTAGAGATATAAACCACATAAACATAAGCCTATAGAGCTCACATATTTCAAGGGTTTTAAAGAGTCTTTTAGACAGACTTTGTCTCACTTCCAACAGGTTATCAGAAGGGACCAGTTCCTGAAGAAGGTACGTCATATGTGCTAAAGTTGAGAGTTAGTGAAAAAGAGAAAGATCCTGGATAGGACAGATGGCAGAGTGAGAGCAACAATGGGCCTGAATGTGAAGAGAATTGTAAGGATAGTGCAAGACCGGGCAGTGTGTTGTTTTGTGGCAAGTAGGGCGGTAGCTGTGTTAGCACACATTCAACGACACCTAACAATGAAAACAACAGCAAAGAGGTCCTCAGACCAAAATGCTTGAAAATTACAAAACTAGAAGCTACCACAAGCCTGACTAGCTATGTAATCTTGCAACAAGTTGTGTATTCTCTATGTCTTGGAGTTTCGTCATGTGCAAAATCAGTACACTCCTCACTTATTAACAGGGTTATCTTCCACAGACCAGGTCTTTAGAAGACAGTGAAGGATGACCACATCAGATTACAAAGTAGAGCCACAGAGGCCCTAAGTACAACAGAGCAAAACACTGCCCCGGCCTGTGCTCAAAGGGCCCTGGAGAGCACTGGGCTGCTAACCACAAGGTTGGCAGTTCAAACAAACTCTCTGGCTGCTCTGTCAGAAAAAGATGAGGTTTTCTGCTCCCATTAGATTTACAGCCCCGGAAATCCACAGGGTCAGTTCTACTCTAATCCATAGGGTCTCTAGAATCGACTTGATGGCAGTAAGTTTGGTTTAGTGTGGTCTTGTGCTATTACATAAATGCCAAATTTCCTCATTATATAATGGTCAAATTATAAAAATATATAAGTGCCCAAGCACTGACAATTATGGACCAGCCAAGCTAATGTATAACCTTAATCGTCATAACCAGTGTTGCCCACTTGGCATTTAGTGCTAAATTGACATCATTAATGAGAATAATCGTCATAAAGTATGTTTTTTAAGTTATCACAAAGGTGAACTGTCAGATAACAAGACATTCTTAACTGTGGAGTAGGTGTACATCTATAAAGTGCTGACAATGTCAAGAACTCAAAGTGGTGTATACATGATAATTGTTGATGATATTTCTTTTTTTTCCTCCATAAAATACGAGGTGGTAATAGTTGCTGAAATTGAGGGAGGGAGGACTGAAGAGAAAAATATATTGTTTTATATTAAATACTTTTATTGGGGCTCTTACATCTCATTACAATCCATACACTCATCCATTGTGTTGCCATCATCATTTTCAAAGCATTTTTCTGAGCCCTTGGTATCAGCTCCTCAATTTCCCCCCTCCCTTCTCTCCCCTCCCTCCCTCCCTCATGAACCCTTGATAAGTTATGATTATTATTTTCATATCTTACATCATTGAGATAAAGATGTGATAGAGTGATTTCAGAATATGAGCATAATGGAACTGATTAGGATAATACAAAGGATAAACAAAAATTTCACATGAAATGTGTATTATGAAAAACTAGATAAGGATTTCAATAATTTTTTCACCTGAATAATTTCATACCCTTATTTTTATAAATATCTAACCAGGATCTTTTTTCAGCCATTTAGAAGAATAGGCCCCTATCAGAGCAACAAGAATTCTGTTTAAATTGAAGAAACAACAAACATCCTTTTTATTGTGGAGCTTGGGTTAAAGAATCATTAAAAAGAAATCATTTATATTTTACTAAAAATTATGGGTCAATGTCCTAAAGAACCAGCAGTTTTAAAACTGTATCAACCATTTTAAAAAGGTTATGAAGATTGTGCAGGACCAGGCAGTGTTTCCTAAGCATACATAGGTTTACCATAAGTCAGAGCTAATTTGATGGCATCCAACAAGGAAAATGCCAACAATTGGTAAGGAAAAAATGAATCTTGTTCATGCCCTAATTGAAGAGGACTGATGATTAATAGCAGAAACAATACCCAGTACCATAACATCTCAAAGGGTGCAGAATTACACAATTCTGATAAAAAACAAAACTACAGTTGAAAAAGCTTTTCGTTTGATGAGTCCCCAAAACAGCTGTGTTCAAGTCAGCTTCCGACAAAAGCAGAGATTTTGAGAGAATTTTTAAATAAGCAGAAGCAAGACCCTGCAGCACTACTTGGAAGAACTGTCCCAGGAGTTGGGAGACTGAAACCTGTACCATCCTGACAACAAAGCACAGTCAAGACAACGGCTACCAAGGGTGCCCAGTCAGAGCAAAATGGAAAGGTCAAGAACAAAAGTCATAGTAGCTTTTGGGGGGTGCTCATGGCATTTTGACAATGCATTAAAGGCATTAGCCAAAAACAAACCTCCAGGAATTGATGGAATATCAACTGAAATGGTTCGATACTCTGAAGAAGCACTCATTCCTCTATGCCAAACAGCTGGAAGACAGCTACCTGGCCAACCAACGGGAAGAGATCAATACCTATTCCTGTTTGAAAGATAAATGAGCTCATCGAATGCACAAATTATACAACATCATTAATACCACATGCAAGTAAAATTTATCCGAAGGCCATTTAATAATGGTTGCTGCAATACATTGACAGGCAGCTAGCTACTAGAGGTTCAGATCAGGGGCAGAAGAGGACGTGGAACAAGGAACATAATTTCTGACATCAGGTGGATCTTGGCTGAAAGCAGAGAATACGAGAAAGATGTTTCGTTATGCTTTATTGATTATGCCAAGGCATTTGACTGCACGGATCATGACAAAGTAGGCATAACCTTGAGAAGAATGGGGGTCCAGAGCCCTTCCTTGTGCTCCTGAAGAACCTATGATGGGATCCACAGGCAGTTGTGGGAACAGAACAAGCGCAGTTTAAAACCAGGCGAAGTGTGTTTCAGGGTTGTATCCTTGCACCATACTTACTCAATCTGTGCTCTGCAAATAATGAGAAGCTGGGTTACCTGAAGAAGAATGCAGCCTCAGGATTGGAGGGAGGCTTATGCAGACGACATGGCCTTGCTTGCTTGCTGAAGTGAGGAGGATTTGAAGCACAGATGACAACTCAATGTGTAGAAAACCAAAATCCTCACAACTAGATCAGTAGTTAACATCATGATAAATGAAGAAAAGATTGGCGTCTTCAGGGATTTTGTTTTGCCTGGATCCACAATCAATGCTCATGGAAGCAGCAGTCAAGAGATCAAAAGATGCATTGTATTGGGAAAATCTGCTACATAAGACCTCTTTGGAGTACTGAAAAGCAAGGATGTTACCAGAACGTTCTGTAGAAGCAAGAATGGAGAGACTTCATCTCACGACTTTGGACATGTTCTCAGGAACATAGTGTCACAGTGGTTAAGCATTGGGCTGTTAACTGCAAGATCAGTAGTTTGAAACCACCAGCCACCCTGTAGAAGACGGAGCTAGTCTCAGAAAACACAGGAGCAGTCCTATTTCATTCTATAGAGTTACTATGAGTTCGCACAGACTCAAGGCAGTGAATTTGTTTTGGTTTTTGAGCAAACGCCAAGAAACGCCAAGAAAAAAAAAGGAATTGAAGGCAAATTATGAGAAGACAAAGATTTAAATTCAGGACAGAATGAACACCGAGTCTGAGTTCAGAATGCAGGGCTGTGTTCACAATGGACTAGAACTTTGGAGAGCCCTGAAGAAGGTAGTACAGAACTTTACCAGGTTCCTGGAGGTCCAGCTTCAGGAGAGCCAGGGAAAGTTTGTGGGATGTAAGTCCCCAAGACAAAACTGCAAGTAATGAGGCAACAATGTAACCAGATACTGAAATCAGCTGCCCCAGGATCAAGTATGTGAGGCCATTTTCCTCTTTTCTATGTCTTTCCCCACCCTAAAACAAATACACCCCCCCAAAAAAAACAACCCCCAAATCTCACCAGCCCCCAACTCATAGGACTGAGCTACCGGGCGGGGTAGAACTGTCTAGGAGGGTTTCTGAAACCTCAAGCCTTTACAGGGCAGGGCGAGAAGGCCTCAGAGCCCCAGTTGGTGGCTGGGCACTGGCGACCTTGAGGGGAGTCAGCCCTATCGTAAGCCATTACTCCACTAGGGCTCTTCTACCGCCCTTTTCCCGAGAACCGAGTGCATGGAGCCTCCCTCTCCTTTGCCCTTTGGGTTTCCCCACGTTTCCTCTGCCCTTAGTTTAGGCATTCTCTTAACAGAAACGCGGCGGGGCATCCGGAGCCCCTCCTCCCGCAGGAGGGGGCGGGACGGGGCCCAAAGCAATGGGAGGCCCTTTATTGCCGACGTGCCGACGTCAGCACGCCGCTGACGTAGGCGGATATCCGGTCCCGCCCCGGGGGCCCGCCGCCGGCTCTGTGAGCGTCCGCGGGTCGGCTTTAGCTTCTCCCCCAGAGGTCTGGGTGCCTGCGTGGGGCTCCCGCTGCCGCCGCCAGGCCCCGCACGGTTCCCCGCCCCTGAGCCCCGGGAGCGAGTGCAGCCGTCCCCCGAGGGTAAGCGGGAGCGGAGGGCGCTGGCGGGCGGGGCCCGGGGGCCGGTGCCGAGAGCCAGCCGCGTGGCCCCTCCGCCAGGCCGCAGGGAAGTCTCTGCTCGGCTTGGCCTCAGCGTCGCGGTGACCCTGGGCCCTCTGCTCTGGGTGACACCGGCCAACTCCCGAGGGAATCGGAGCGTGACCGGAGAAGGGCCGGGACGGGACCTGTATTAGGCCGAGAAAGACAATCCCTCTTTGAAGTTTCCAGAACAAACGAGAACATCCATTGAGGCACAACATTCTCGGCGGATCCAGAAGACACCTTTGAGTGCTTACAATCCCTCCGGATCATCTCCCAGTGACTATTTTCTGAGTTCCGTAGACAGCGCAGTGCAGTTTTAACGCCGTGTAGACGGTATCATTCTAAACACTTACTCATTACATACCCTGTCATTTAAGTAGCCGCCTTTCCCCCGAGGAGCCTGGCCCGCCCTTATTTTTGAACTGTCATTAGCCTCTCAGTGATTTTTAAAAATTGGACTTTTTGATGGGATTGTGTAACATGACTTGGAACCCAGGAAGTAGGATAACAGTAGACTTCGTGATCTTAGCATGGTTTCCAGTGGAAAGTGATGCATGATTTTGATGTAATGCCATTCCGAATGAAAAATCCAGTGAATTATCTTTGACGTTTGCGCTCATGGAGCCTGCCCAGTGATTTTTGGATGCTCTTAGGATTCTGGGAATACATGTATTCTTAGTCTCCCAGGGCCAGCGAAACCAAACTCACTGCCATCAACTCAGGGCCGATTCACAGTGATTCCCCCAGTGGGTTTCGCAGACTGTTTATTGGAGTAGAAAGCTCTTTCTACAGAGGAGCTGCTGGTAGTTTCGAACTGCGGACCATGTGGATCACAGCCCAAACCACAGCGGCTACACCACTAGGGCTTAGTATGCACAGTCACATGCAACGCTTGAGGCCATTTTGGAGCTTTAGAATTTGTACATTTGAGTAGGGCTTAGAAGTCTGAATCTATATTTTTAAGGAATTTCTAGTTTTTTTTTAAGTCCTAATTTAAGAAGACAGTGAGAGAATATTAATAATTTTTCAGTTTCATGTTTCAACCACATAGACCCATTGAAGTCGTGCGCCCCTCCCATTACCCCTTGAGTACTGACTATATTGCCAGGCACCCTTAGGCAATCTGGTGGTATAATGGGCCATGTGTTGGGCTGCTAACCGCAAGGTCAGCAGTTTGAAACCACCAGCTGCTCCCCTGGACAAAAGTGAAACTTTCTATTCCTGTAAAGATTTGCAGCTGCCGGAGCCCACAGGGCAGTTCTGCTCTGTCCTATAGAGTTGGACAAAGCTGGAATTTGACTCAATGGCAGTGAGTTTGGTTCTTTGGGGTTTTGCTGGGAGCTCTTTGCTTAGGGAATTGGAAGTCTTTCAGTTGGATGAACCATTTTTAAAACGTTATTTAGAGAAAATACTGTTTTTCTAAATGTGGTAGTTTTAACTAAGTAACAGAAGCAAGTTTTAAAGCCTTTGATACACACATGTAAGTATAGAATCCTAAACATCCGTTTGAACCCTGTCAAAACTGCTTGTAGATAGAAGAATAGCTTTCAGAGTCAAAGCAACTTAAAAAAAAAAAATCATTTCTATCTAGTTGATTCCAACTTACCAGGACACTATAGTACTGGGTATAACTGCCCCTACGGGTTTTCAAGGCTGTAATTCTTGGAAATAACAAAGAAGAAAACCTCATCTTTCTCTCAAAGGGAATGCTGGTGACCTTGTGGTTAGCAGCTCAATTATGTAACCAACATGTACACCAACAGGGCTCCCCGAAAGACAATAATTTAGGAAAAGGATTTTCAGAGAAAATGGTTTTGCTTTATAGTAAATGTTGTCCTTTGGCTTGTCTGTTAAATGTTTTATTTAGACATTGAATAGGAAAAATTAGACTAGTTTTACTTAAAGTGTTGGCAGCCTACAGGTCATCTGAATAGCTCAGGAAAGTGATAGAAACTTGGCAGTAACTCACCTTTTAATTATTTCTCTATCATGTATGCCTAATAAAATTATGTGATGCAGAGTAATTTTTAATGCATATTTAATGTTAGACTTTTTCTTTCCAGTCAAAGGAAAATATAAAACAACAATTTTGGCTTTAAAGATAAATGTTTTTGGTTGCATAGTCATCACCACAATCCGCTTTAGACCCTTTTTTTCATTCTTACCCACATGGACTAAAGCCTCCGGTGAGTTCATTCAGATCATACTTGAAGGAGGTGAATAGCCCTGTTAACAAGCAGAAAGCATAGCAAGGCCGACTGGCAGACGTGGTTAGGTTGAAGTGTTATATCTGATCATAGGATCTCCCTTTTCACCCCATTTCAGTCTAATAAACAAACGGAAGGGGAAATACACATGAATTACATGAATTAAGCCCCTGGTGAATCCCCTCTGATCGTGGAGCAGGGATGTGAATAACCTAGCTAACCAGCAGAATGCAGTGCAGAGTGGGTTGTGGCGGCTGCAGTGAGGCTCAAATTTAGCACCCTAGCATTTGATCTCCCTTAAGACCCATTTAAACTTGTTCTAGTTGTTAAATTGTTTCTATTTTCTTTTTAAGTGAGGTTTTTATGTTTTACTTTGTTCTTTTTAATTTGTTTTTTAATGTTTTTCTGTACATGGAATCCAGGATAGCTAAATGTATAGATACAGTAATTGGGTTAATGGTTCTTTGTGGGATGGCATGGTGGTTGGGGGAATTGGGGGGTACAAGTACCTTATCTTAAAATCTTGTACTTTATTTTGGTTACTGGGTGCTTGATGCTTCGTGAAGTTTTGAAAAATATCAAGTTTCCATTCTTGACTCTCTTTCTCTGACTTTGGTCACATCTCCCTAGTTCAGAAGTTCTCAACCTGTGGGTTGGGGTGCGGTCGAATGACCCTTTCACAGGGGCTGCCCAATTCGTACATACAGTAGCAAAATTACAGTTATGAAGTAGAAACGAAAATGATTTTATGGTTGGGGTCAGTACAACATGAGGAACTATATTAAAGGGTTGCAACATTAAGAAGGTTGAGAACCACTGCCCTAGATTCACTTTTCTACTTTTTCCAGTTTCACTACTTTTTATTTCTTCTGTTTGTTTCTTTGAACAAATACTGATATGCTTACTGTGACTTGGTTCACCAAATATATATTATGCTTACTTTGTGTCAGGCTAAATTAACTGTCAAATTGGGCGTTGAGCTTAAAGTTTGACATGCGTAAGAGCACTTGGTGATCCTATTTCTTGCTTCATCTAACATAGCAAATATAACTAGATAATTACACCTTTTGCCCTTTGTGTAGAAAGACGAGAAAATGCCTAAGAAAAAGACTGGTGCGAGGAAGAAGGCTGAGAACCGCCGGGAACGTGAAAAACAACTCAGAGCCTCCCGAAGCACCATTGACCTAGCGAAGCATCCCTGTAATGCTTCAATGGTAAGGGCTGATACGCGGTATAGGAGCTATCTGAAGTACCCCTGACTACAGTATTCACAAATGCACCGTGACTGCATACATTCAACTGTGGAGTTTGAAATCTCTTGTACAGGCATGCCTATTTTAATCAGTACTTCGCAACAGTGATTTGTGTAAGGTTTTCTATTATTTGCAAAATCAAATGTATTACCTTCGATATGATTGGTATTAAATAGATACTAAACAAAATACATAGGTGGAAATGTACTGAGCTTTCCAGCTTCTCTCCTTAAGTTCACTTGTCCGGTCAGGGGCAGCCTCTCCATTTTCTCATAGGCGTTTCCAGCTCATTTGATGTCTCTGAACGTGTCACATTTTTTGATACCTCTTTTGGCTTCTTGTTCCCTAGACAGAGTTGTTAGTCCTCTTAATTTCAGAGTTCCTATGATGGTCACAGTTGGGGGCGGGGGGGGCGGGATTATGTACACGTCATATATATAGTCTTCATTGTCTCTCCTTTCTTGGCTCTGTGTCTCTGAATTTGTTCACATCTCCCTAGGTTCACTCCCTTACCTTTTCTGGCTCCATGATTTTTTATATCTTCCTTGAAAATATGACGTGCTTTTTCTTGCGACCTAATTCAGCAGATGTGTAGTGTATCTGCAGTGGGTCAGGTCACGTCCCAGGCTGTGTGGGGAGGGGGTGCATTGGTGAAGACACAGGAATACCTGTATCGGTTGACGGCATATTCTGTTAGTTGACTTGCTCTTGTATTGGTTGACTTACTTGTATTAGTCAAGACATACTTGTTAGTGCAGGAATTCCGTTCCAATAACACAAGGGGAAGTAACTCCTAAATGGGTACTAGAACAACTTGTGTAATTGGGAAGGCCAGGAGGTAGGTTGAACTCAGTACCATGTCCTGTTATTATTTGTTTTTTCCCTTACTGGTTCCAGTTTTTCAACTTTTCATTCTGTATTTGTTAGATTCATAGTCACTGTAGCTCCGTGCTTCCCACTACGGATTATTGCCCTCAGAAGAAAGAAGACCTTGAGACACTGGGTTTGGGCAGGCAGCAATTTCAGGACTCACCTTTTCAAAGTGGGAGGTGGTAGACAGAAGGGGGCGGGGACTGCCCGGTATATCAAGGCAAGCAGTGAGATTCATACACATAATTAGAGCTAGACTTTTCAAGGTATTATAACAAAGGTACAGTATTTATAAAATCTAAGGGTTGGTAAAGTTAGATTTATTGAGTGTGTGGGAGAGTTCACAGAGAAGGTGGGATCATTACTCAAGCTGTCTTCAGGTAGAGATTGTGAGTAGAGATTTTTTAGGAAATTGTATTAGAATAAGTAAAGGCATGGAGAACAGAGTAAAAGACATATTTCGGAAATTCGTGACTTCAGTGTGTGTTGAAGCTGCAAACATGGATGGAATTGGAGGCTTTTGAGGAGTGTCACCTGCATGTTGCCTTAAAAAACAGTGTGTGTGTGTGTGTGTGTGTGTATTTATATATAAAACAGTGTATATATATATTATAATGCAACTAAAATTACAATCTTTAGCCAGTTTGAAAAATAATACTGTATATTTTTTTGCATTTTACAGGAATGTGACAAGTGTCAGAGGTAATTATTTTTCTCTTTTTCTGTTGACATAATAAAATAAGCCCTCTGACTTTTTATCTGATACTAATTTATTTATTTTCTTTTACATGACAAGGCGACAGAAGAATAGAGCATTTTGCTACTTTTGTAATTCTGTACAGAAGTTACCAATTTGTGCACAGTGTGGTAAGTATATGATGATTAAAGACACATGCCTTTTAACTTATCAAACATTTGTTTGGAAGTTAATCAGTTTACACCTTTAGGCTTGATATTAGCGCTTACGGCATTAAGCCTTACTGTTAATAAGACAGGGCAACACATTATTTGATCTACCAAACAACTATCAAGTCTTGATTTCGCCATGTTGGTATAATTCTGGATGATACTGTCTTAATATTTGTTACTTGATTGCTAGGTTATCCATTGCAGTAGTTACCAGGCGTCAAAGATAAAATTCATGAGTAAAGGGTTTATTAAGGAAGTTAACAAGTAATGCCAGTGAGAAATGCCCAGGATTAAGTTGTTTTGTCAGGATATGTTACAACGTTCTTTCCAGTCTGCTGGTAAATGCCCAAAGGGCAACCACTCCGTTGTAAGCCTCAACCTGAAGGCATTGAAGTCTCGCTCCGTGGGCCAGCAAACTCAGCTCCCTGAAGAAAGTGCCCCGATGTATTCCACTCTGCCTGAATGAAGGCACTGAGCTCCTCTTTTGGGGGTCAGCAAGCCTGACTTCGCCAACTAAGTGTCCAGAAGCGTCCTACTCTGTAAGCCGGCCTCCTGCACGAAAGCCCTCAGCTTTACTTGCTGTGTGGGTTGGGAAGCCCATCACCACTACTACTGTTTCATGTGCCCGTGGCTCCCAGTTCTCTTGCTGCTCCTCTGGTGATGTAGTTCTCTTCTGGATCTAGGAGGTCCAGAGGATGCACTCCTCTACTGGCTGTTGCTGGTAATGGATTCTTCCCCTCCCCACCCATTCCTTTCCCCCTCCTCTCCCCCTCCCCTTCCCCCTCCTTGGGCTCATTTTATACACAGCAGGGTGGCAGTCCAGAGAATCCTGTTCACAATGACTCACCAGTGAATCCGATCAGTGTCTGCCCACATCCTCTTACCAGACCCAGACAGGGAAAGGTCATTTGGTAAGAGCTATTTTAGCTAGTAGAGCCACATCAAATAATTCACTGCCCCTGCACTGTAAAACAGTGAAAGTGTAAGTTAGGTATAGGTTGCCAACAAATTGTATTAAACATTAGAAAACCTACATTTCAGATGCGTAGTGATTATTTCCAGGTATTTGATTAGTCTGACCAACATCCATTTATTGATTTCTGGATTTTTAGCCCTGCAATCTCTTGGACTGCTGAGGATAACTTGATTTCACATTTACTCTAAAGCTGCTGGTGGTTATGATTAGCATTTTTGTGTGTGTCCTTAGCACATGATTCTTTTCACAAATGTATCCCCCAAGTGATAGCCATAGAGTTCTAATAAACTGCCTACCCAGTTCCCATGTGGAAATGTTTACCCCGAAATTACTATTCACACTACAGTGGAAGACAAGGCCCTAGAGCAGCAGGCTTGGTGTTTTCCGGAGGTCTTTCAGAGAACCTTTGAGGCAGGAATAGAGCTGTACCCATTTGAGCGATGCTGTATGCTTCATCGCTTAATCCCCAGATAGCGGATTTGTTTTCATATTTTGGTATGAATGGTTTTTAAATCCTTCAGTAAGCAAACCTCCTTAACTTTGGCTTCTCCAGATCCCCCTGTACTTGTATTTGAATAAGTACCCCCTTTGTTTATGGGATAATAATTTCAAGTGGAGGTCAGTTTGGGATATGCTCATATAAATGTCTTCTCTATGATAACGTGACAGGAAATTAGGGATGTTTAGAGACACACCCCTGCGTATTTGTTGTGCTCTAGCTTTCAGCTGTAAAGTTAACAAGACTGCTGGCTGACCTGCCTGTATAGCCTCATTATGTGGACTGTCAGCGACTGGTGGGTGAGAGAGTAGACTCCGGGGAAGACTAAGAACAGTTAATGGATGCTTTCTGGTAGGACCATTCTGGATTTTCGGTGTCCCTGGGTTTGGATCCCGGGGTCATATTCTGTAGTACCGTGTGTAAGTGCATTCACCTTCCCTAGTCTTGTACTGAGGACCAAGCTGTGGAGCAATCCGCTCCTTTCCGATTTCTCTTTTCCCCCCATTTCTTCTTGGCCCCTTTGTTCCTCGGACAATAAAGATAGTGGAAAATTGAGCATCTTCCCTCATTCTTGTCTCACTTGTGGTGTCTTGGATGGGCGATTAGCATGTCACTGTTGATCTCCACATAGTATTTGATGAATGAGATTTTTGACAGTGCCTCAATGTGGTAATTTGTGGCTAGATCAGAACTTTCGTAGGTGTACTTTGATTTTTAATTCTCTCAGTATATTCCCGTGTTTTGAGTTCACTTGATCACTATTTTAAAATCCCGTTTGCAGAATGTTTGCATGGAGGCTTGGTTTATAAATTTTTGCTTATGGATAACACTAAAAAACAAAAAACAGATAGGCTATGTGTTATTTTATTTCATTTGGTTTGAGATATTTTGTAAAAAAACCAAAAACTTTAAACTCTTATTGTAAACCATAACAGTTAAAATATACTGTTAAGACTCAATTTTTAAAAATCTGCTTTGGTTCATCTGAAATTCACGAGGTTATTAACTGCTCTACATGATTGTTCGACTCCAAAGCATAACTGTAAGGTCTTGTTTTAATAGAAACAGAAATTAGCATTTAAATGACTTATTTTGTAATACGTTTTAATAGATTTATTAACAATTTTGTAATCCCAAAATATCTGCCTCAGTCAGGTCTTAGTTAAGTCCTAGTTTTTGTTTATATGACCAGTAACCATTAGAAGATTTTGTTCGATTTCTTTTCAGACGATTAGCGGTGGTAACTTACCTTGGGTTAAATAGAAAGGTGAGTGAACATGTCAGTGCTAGATCAGTAATACATTTTTGTCTTCGTGAAAGGGAAAACCAAGTGTATGATGAAGTCCTCAGACTGTGTCATAAAGCATGCTGGTGTCTACAGTACTGGCCTCGCGATGGTGGTAAGCTCCTTGTCATTGTCACTTGCACTTACGGTCGGCTCCCAGGGATAAGAAAATGTCCCTGCCTTCTGGTGAAGAGTCCCTGACCTCACTCCTGCCCGGTTGTCCTGATCTGGCTGTGCTTTCCCAGCTCCCTTAACTCCTATAGGAGTCTTTTCCTTACACCTTCCGGAAGGCTCGGGGTTGTATACTGTAACCCCCCCGCCCGCCCCCTTCTTTCTTTAAGTCTGGGAATGGTAACTGCAGCATTCCTTTCAGGTTTTCCCAAACAACACCTACCTCCCACCACCACTGTCCTTTGTGAAATTTCTCTTTTAAAATTCTTGACTACCCAGCTGGTCTGTACCGTCTGTTGCTAGGGTCCTTGGTTTTTCAAGAGAGGATGTACGATTTTGACATCTATGTTGGGAGGCTACTTTTATTCCTCAACACATTTTTCCTCGTTTGCTGTTCACGACGCTGCACTGATATTGGAAGCTCTGAACTTAAATCTCAGAAGCAGTATCAGGCCACCCATTCAGTCCCCATTTGTAAAGCAAAGACTGCCAGTCCTCCTCCTCCTCCCTTAAGAAAACACCTTCTAGCGTGTCAATGCTGTAACTGTCTGTGTTGTTGGGAGGTCCGTTTTTAAGCCTGTCCTCAATATGGCGTTGGAGAGCCAGCCTATAGTTGAGTTCCTGTGTTTGCTTAGATTTGTTTTCACATAGGAACTTAATGATTTAAAGCATAAGTTGCTATAAAAGGGGGAGAAAAGTGGCTAAGGGACAGTCGGTTTTCTCAATTAGTCTAGGAAAGCTATGTGCTGCTTTATAAATTGCACAGATAGGAATGTTCTATAAGATATTGGTGGGTACCGTATATACTCATGTGTAAGCCGAGTTTTTCAGCACATTTTTATTCAGTTTTTGTGGTAAAATTAGGTGCCTGGGCTGATAGTCGGGTTGGCTTATACTCGAGTATACACGGTATTTGAAAAAAGTTCTGATAAACCCCAAAATTAAACCCACTGCCATTGATTATAGCTCATGACCACCATAGAAAGTGCTGTGAACAAGAATATTGAAACTGTAGACTGTGATGTTTATTTGAATCAGAATTCATTTTGAAGGCAACACTTGCAGTTCTTTGACCGAATTTATTTCTTTTAGTGGATTGCTAAGGTTTTTATACTGTAGGTAGCTGCTGGTAAGGCAACTTATTTTTCAGACTCCTCGTAAATTTGTTTTTTTTTTAAATCATTTTATTGGGGGCTCAAACAATTCTTATCACAATTCATACATCCATACATTGTGTCAAGCACATTTGTACATTTGTTGCCATCATCATTCTCAAAAAATTTGCTTGCTACGTGAGCCCTTGATATCAGGTAAATTTGGCTTTAAAGTGAGTCTGACACTCTTTCATGGAGCCATCCACCATCCCCGAGGGTAGAAAACTACTAAATGTCTAAACTATGAAGTCTGCCTTAACATAGGTCTGCTCTGTTCTTGGCTTACAGGGAGCAATCTGTGACTTCTGTGAGGCGTGGGTTTGCCATGGAAGGAAGTGTCTCAGCACCCATGCCTGCGCCTGTCCCCTGACTGATGCCGAGTGTGTGGAGTGTGAGCGCGGCGTGTGGGACCATGGTGAGTGACTCGATGGAACCTCCAGTGTGGCCGCACGGGATGGCTAACTTTGTAACATGGGTGCTGCTCTTCCCGCCTCTCTGCAGGATGTGCGTAACTGTTTGCCCTAACTTCTGGGATCTCTTTTGGCTAACAGCTGTAGAGTCTCTGTAACTTGGAACTGACTTGGTGGCAGTGCACTTGGTTTTAGTTTGGTTATGTGGAAAAAGATTTATACGAGTAATCATAGTCATTGCTAGTATCGCTGATTTTGGCAGGTATGGAGGGGTGGTTGTGTGAGAACAGGATATGTCTGATCATTAGGAATATTATCTAAATAACCAGGAGACAGTGGGTGACGTAGTGGTTACACATTGGGCTGGTAACCACAGGTCAATAATTTGAAACCACTGGGTACTCTGTGGGAGAAAGATGAGGCTTTCTACTCCCATAAAGAGTTACAGTCTCGGGAACTCACAGGGCCAGTGACCCTGTCCGATAGGGTCCCTGCAAGTCAGCATCAACTCGATGGCAGTTTGGGTGTGGGTTTGGTGTGGCGGTGGAGTGGGGTTTCCATTTCAGCTACTTTGGCAGTTTTCAGTTTAGCTGTTAACAGAACAAAAACTCTAGTTCCGTTTGGGGGTATCTTGGAGCTTCCCATCTTTCCCAAATCATTGTATACATAGAAGTTTTATAAATATAAAAATATCGTATGTACATTTGTGTTTTTTTCTTTTTGCTCCAATAGGTGGCAGAATATTCAGTTGTTCTTTTTGCCATAACTTCCTCTGTGAAGATGATCAATTTGAACATCAAGCAAGCTGCCAGGTTCTAGAGGCAGAAACATTTAAATGTAAGTTTCTAGATCCTTACTAGTAAAAGTTTTTGACTTTATGGGAAAGGTATGTCATTTTTCATGCAGCCTCTTAGGGAAATATAATTTGAAATGGTGGCTGTCTCCTACTCTAGAAAAACTGTACAGCATGCAGTCTGTTCTTTTCCACAGAGCCTCCAGTGGCATTGGTTGTGCGATTGACCAGGTAGGTATTGCAGGACTTGTAGCTCTCCTGGTCCTGACTGCTAAGTGTCAGTGTTAACCTCCCAGTTTTATAACAGCAAAACCCTTCCTCCACTCCCCCTACTTCATACACGTTTCCATATGCCCCCAGGTAAGTTATCATAGCTTTGGTTGGTTGCCTCTAGTTGATTCCTGAATTCCTGGTGGTGTAGTAAGTTGTTAAACAATGGGGCCGCTAAACATGAAGTTGGTGGTTCAAGGCCATCAGTGACCCTGGGAGGAAAAGGAGGCTTTCTGCACCCTTCAAGACAGACAGCCGTAGATTTCTTAGGCGCCGTCCGTTCTACCCTGTCCAGAGGGTTGTTAATGAGACAGACTTGACTTGAGGATAGTGAGTTTGCTGTTTTGCAGTTGATTCCAGTGGTTCTTAGAATGGATAGCAGAAATACCTGTGGACGTCTTTGTTCTTTTTGTAATATAGGTGCCTAGCCCTCACCTCTGTATAGTCTTCATTTCAGTCTGTGGTAGGTACTAAGTTCTGAAAACAACCTCTACAAATTATTCTCATGTATCAGTTGAGGACCAGTGCTGCTGATTGGGTCAGACTTATCTTTATGACTAAGTAGCTGCTAACCACAATGTCAGTGGTTTCAACCCACTCCAAGAGAGTAAGTAGAGACTGTTGACGCCTTGAAAGATTTAACATGTTGGAAACCCAAAGAGGCAATTCTGCTCTCCTGCAGGGTCCCTGTGAGTCTAAATCAACATGATGGTAGTGAGGTTGTTTTTTTGTTTGGTCTGCTTTTTTCTTGAGTTTACATCGATTTTTCAGAAGATCAAGTTTGAGAGTCCAACATTAATTCAGATCAGTTTATTAGCTGGAAACTTGCTAACTTTTTCAACCTCGGTTCCCTTATCTCTTAGAAGATACGAAAGTTTTCCTGAAGGGTTCATTTAAATGATCTTCCATAGAAAGCATCTCCCGTGAAGCCTGGCGCTTAAAACAAAACCAAACCCTCAGTGTCAAGTGGAGTCTGAACCATAAGAACCCTGTGGAGCAGAGTAGAGCGACCCCAACAGATTTTCAAGACTGTAGATCCTTCCGGGGAGTGGCGACTGGGTTTGAACCTCATCCAGTTAGTAACCTGCATGCTTGATCACCAGAGCTTCTAGTCTTGGAACTTTAGAAAACCCAAATTGCACTCTTTCAGGACACAGTAGAACCGCCCCATGGTTTCTGGGGCTTTGTAAATCTTTAGAAGAACAGATGACCCCATCTTTCTCCCAAGGTGCGGCAGGTGAATTTGAACCTCTGACCTTGTGGCCAGCTGACCAGCACTTACCTGACAGCACCCCTAGGGCTCGTCAATGACCCTTATTCAATATCAGGCATCATTACAGAAAAATAAAATCTATAGACAGTCATTTTGTTTAATTTGATTCTTGTATGAAGTACTAATTCTTGTTCTCATCTCTTCTATAAGTTTAGAGTTGACTAAATTATCAGTCTCCTGAGATAAGTACATATAATTCTTGGAAACTTTTATGTAAAAATTCCCAAAGGTCACTAAAGTCTCACACTATATAGCATCTTATAGAATTCTTTAGAATGTGTAATATAAAAATGATATTTCCTTAGGGCATCAGAACCTAGCTCTTTTTTCCCTTGCTTTATCTCTTTGGACATTCTTCTTTCAGGAGTTTTTATTGGAAGCTTGAAATGTTTTTTTGAAAACTGTCCTGGTGGCATTGTAGTTACTCTTTGGGATGCTCACCACAAAGTCAGCAGTTTGAAACCACCAGCCTCTCCAAGGGAGAAAAACAGGGCTTTCTATTTCTCTGAAGGGTTACAGTCTCGGAAACTGGCAGAGGCAGTTCCACTCTGTCCTAGAGAGGGTCACCATGAGTGGGCATTGACTCCATGCATGTTTCCACCACTTCAGTGTTTTTAATGTAAGATTTATGGACTTGGTTTACAACTATGGGAGGTTTAGAAATCTTAAAATGTGTGTGTGTGTGTGTGTGTGTGTGTATGAATGTACACACACACACACACACACACGCACACGCATACCTGTGTAGTCACTGGAAACACAGCTCAAAGAAAACAAAAACCACAAAACATCACACTTGTTAGTACTCTGCTTTTGTCTTTAAATGAATTTAGTGACCTTGAGACTTTTATTCTGAAATAACTTGTTATGTCAGCAGGCTTTGATGTCTCCCAACTTGCTTGCTTTTAAAAGAACCTGGAGACATAAATAGATTAAAAGAAGAGAGAAAATGCACATTCTAAAAGTAGGAAAGTCATGCTATTTTTACAATCTGAGAGAAATCTATCTTTATACAAGTCTTAATTGAAGATTAACTTTGGGACCAAAAAATCCCTGGATGTTAATATGATGTGTCTGGAATTAGATAATTAGGGAGAGAACAGACTGTGTGTCCTCTTAGAAGTAAAGGTGTGAGGGGGTGGAGGCGGAAGATTTCTGGAGTTAGTGTCTTATTGACATGTCAGTGCGCAGGCTCTGAGTGTCGGAAAAGAGTCTGTATTGGTAGCAGTGGGAGCTGGGTGCTTTGAATGTGTGTCTGCATTTCAAAAGGGAATTGAGAAGTTTGGCTAGATTAATAGGGGCGATGGGGCAGACCTAAAGACTCTGGACATGTCTTGAAGACACCCCCCCCCACCCCCCCAGCCAAAGTATGATCAAAGTAATGTGATAAACATATGTATCCCTAAGATCCAATAAGAACTTGGTTTTTAACTTTTATTGTTAGTGTGGAGAACAGAATCCAATGGAATGATTCCTGTTCCTGTTGGAGTAAGCAGAACATTTGGGCATAATCAGTTATTCACATCATTGAGAACATCATCCTTTGCGTTTAAACAAAACAATAAAACAAGCTTGCCTATTCGGATGGAAAGGTCTCCCCTTGAACCAGTTAAGCATGAAGACAGGACTTCCCAAGCTAGACCCCAAACTCTCCATTTGCAGTCAGTTCCAGCTCATGGCGATGAGTAGACAGCCCGTCTTTCTCCCACACCAAACTAGATACATCTGGCTAGAGGTTTTAATTGTAAGGATAAAACTACTTTGGTTTTCTAGTTAAATTTCAAGACATTGAAGTGAAAGGCAATGATTTATATTCAGATCTCATCAGAGCAAAGTTTAGTTTGTTTTGTCTTTTGTTAATTTTTCTCCCATATTCCCACATATACTTTGCTAATATATTTTAATTTGAATTTAGTATTCATCAATTCTAGACAACCAATATTAATGTGGCTCACTAACCGCTGTTTCATTGCCCTCTTGGATATTGCTTTCTCTTCTTTGTCATCCCTTCTCCCTCTAGTTAGTGACCCAGAAGTCATGCAGAAAGCAACAAGAGCCAGGCCCTCAGGAGAGAATATATGATAGAATAATTAATCTTTTACAAATATCAACCATTATATGAATAGGAGAAGGACTTGGGCCAATATCATGGGAAAAAATGATGTTCTGCCATTTCAGCTTGCCAAATGAAGTTAGCTGTTTCTTTGGCCTGCAGAACTAAAAGGGAATTTGAGAATAATTCGAGCTGTGGAAGTGAAATGCTAGCTGGTGCAGTTCTTGATGTCATTTCTTCTGGCTGAGATTCCACCTCATTTTTACGTAACCTCTAGGTTCTATTAGACAAAACCCAAATTGTTAATTCTTCTGAGGTCATAGGTTCAGTATAAATCTTTGGACAATAGCATGTTCATTCCAGGTTTGAATTTGAATATCATATGTTGTTTTCTCCCATAGGTGTTTCTTGCAATCGGCTGGGCCAGCATTCCTGTCTTCGTTGTAAGGTATTCTTGTGTTTTTCTGTTTGTTTTGTTTTCTAATTTCAGTCTTCCTCATTCTTTGGATTATTTGTAGATAGAATGAACCTGCAAGAGATCTGTACAATTATCTAGTTACTGTAAATTCTTTTATTGTGGACATTGTGGTTGAAAACACGTGACATACCATACGTGGTAATGTGGTTGGCTTGTAGTAGAATGAGCATGAATGCACGTCTGCCGAATTTTGTGTTTTACATTTTATATGTATGGAGAACATGATAAAAATGAGAGTATATTTTAATTAATATAAAAGTTCATCTTTTGGGAAGAGTGGGTAAGCTAAAGGTTTCCATGTTATTTCCATAGACCTTTGTCTCCTTTCTGCATGTCAGTGAGCACTAAATAGACACAATCACGTTACTCATCAAAAGCATTTCTCCAGTTCTTAATTTCTAATACTAAGTCTATCCCCTATCTCTCGTCTTTGCTCCACTTTTAACAAGTAGTTTTCATTTTAAGATGTTCAGGCTTTATAAGAGGTACCTTAACAAAATCCCATTAACTTTGAATTTTACTTGTCCACAAATGTTTGAAGTATTTTGTATATATCCTTTCCCTTGTCTAGTTTCTCATATTTATTTGGTCGAGAGCCACTTGTCCCCCCACCCTTTTATTTCAGGAAAAAAATCACTTTACTCCGCATCTCCTCCCCTACACACAATTAAAAAATTTTGCTAGACCCCATCCTCTGGTATAAAGTGTAAGCGTCTGCTTTTGTCGCCCACCTGGGTCTTTGAGCCTGCCCAGGGAATGCTCACCCACTCTGGGAAACACTGGCTTACACTGTGCTTCTTTCATGTTTGTGTGTCTTGCTGCACCCCATTCTCTCTTACACCTCTGCTAACACTTTCCTGTGTCTCTGGAAGTCTTTCCTGTGTCTTGTGTCATGCTTAGGACCTCTGTTTTGCAATTCACTGAGAACGTAAATAAAAAATGTACTACTATTGATGTGATTCCAGTTCATAGCAACCCTGTGGGCAGGGTAGAATTGTCCCTGTACATTTCTAATACTGTCATACTTTTACTGAAAGATAAGAAAGAAACCCTTATCTTTCTCCCACAGAGCAGCTGTGGTTCAAACTGCCCACCTTGTTAGCCATCCAACTCGGAACCATTGAGCCACCAGGACTCCTCTTTCCGAGCACCGTGTTGTTACATGTCATTGAGTTGGTCCCAACCCATAGCAACCCGATGCAAAACAGAACAAAACACTGCATGGTCGTGTAGCACTTTTGCACTTGTTCCTATGCCTGAGCCCATGTTGCAGCCATGGTGTTATTCCGCCTCGTGAGGGCCTTTCTCTTTGCCCCTGCCCCGGAGCATTGTGTCTTGCAATTGCCTCTCCACTTGTCTTTATCTTCCGTATACTGTATACTCTGTGAGGGTAGATAGCCCAGTCATATCAGCAGGAACCTTATGAATACTCAGCTAGTTCTGAAGGACTAAATGTGTCTATATATCATACCCTCTCCTAGTGACTTATTGCCTCTAGTGGCTTTAAAGAAAGAACTGTATTGTGCCACAGTTTCGGAGGCTAGAAACGCATAATGAGTGGACACTGGGAGAGGACCCCTCCTTGTTGGTAGCTCCATGAGTCCTCATGTTCCTTGTAGACAGTCCTTGCATGGTCCTTACCCCATCCCCCCTCCACCTCCACCCTGTGTCGTGTGTGCTTTTCTCCATCTTCCAGACACCATTGAACAAAGTATTAGGGCTTGGACCCTAAGACCACACTGTTCAGGTATGAGCTCCTTAATTAGAACACACGATTTCCAAACAGGATCAGGTATGAGCTCCTTAATTAGAACACACGATTTCCAAACAGGATCAGGTATGAGCTCCTTAATTAGAACACACGATTTCCAAACAGGATCCCATTCACAGATACCGGGTTTAGAATATGATTTGGGGACACAGTCTAATCCTTAACATAGCCTGTGTTAAGTAATGCCTTTTATTAGTTAACGAATCTTAGAAAAGACCATTTCCCTTCAATTGAAATTTAGGATATGGAATCAGGAGTTAGTTCCAACAAAAATTTTGGTCTCTCTGCTCTACCAAAACTATGTTTACATGTCCTTTAGATACTAAATGATGTCTTTTAAAATATTAGTTGCTAGTGGATATTTTTGGTAACACATTCTACTTTTCCCGGATAGGCATGTTTCTGTGACGAACATACCCGGAGCAAGGTGTTCAAACAAGAGAAAGGAAAGCAGCCTCCCTGTCCCAAATGTGGGCACGAAACCCAGGAGACGAAAGACCTCAGCATGTCAAGTAGGTATCTCCTTATGGACCCGGCTGTGGATTTGCTGCCGTACTCAAGTTTTCCTCCAAAATCTTGTGGAAAAATGGAATTAAGAAATAATGAAATTTTTCCATACACTTCAAGCCTCCTTTGTTATACATGCCTTTACTTTGATATTTGGCCTTTCTTCCGTTAGCACTATAGTAAATAACTGAAATTTCAGAACAACAAAAAGGTAATTTTTCTGTTTTTGTTGATGCTCTCCTGTTAAGTACTAGAGTAGTGTTGGTCATCTTCAGTACTTGGAAGTTAGAATTCATTCTGTTGCTCTCTTTACATGTGTATTCCCCGAGCTGAGCCACTGTGCTTACTCTGTAACATCACTGCTGCGGGCAAGTGTTCAGTGGGACTGAGACTGCTGTAAACATGCTGATAGTAAGGTAGTTCAAATTTGCCCAATGTATCAGAATAGAACCGTAATTCTTAATGGCTCTGGCAATACTTTGTTTAATCGAAGATAGGGTTTTACTATGGGATGAGTCTCATGCCCTGAAGTCTGTGTTCCTCATAATACAGGAGGAATGAAAAATTTGGTTTCCAGAGCATCTGAATTATTTAAAGATCCACCTTAAAAAAATATCGTGACATAAGAAATCAACCATGTTGTATGACTTATGTGATTTAAACATAAATTTTTAATGGGCCAGAAAAAAGACATTTTAGTTTTTATCATGCCTTATTTAACTTACCGTTAGAGAGTGCTATTCTGATTTTGCTTTTCAACTTTTTCTAGATTTAATAGAATGACACTGTTATCTTTATAATTTGTGGTGTGTACATAAACTGTGAATAAGAAGGATTGAACTAAATGCTCCCAAAGCTTCCTATCTTTAATTGCACTGAATATTAGACGAAGGGCTTGGGAGAAGACGGCTTGTGTTTTCACTGTGGACTAGGAAGCGGCAGTGGGATTTATGTTGTGTCATGTCATGTAGAGCGAAAAGGAAGAGTGTGCAATAAGGAACATGCCAACTTCCCTCTCTCTTTTGCAGCCCGTTCCCTGAAATTTGGCCGGCAGACTGGAGGTGAGGAGGGTTATGAAGCTTCTGGCTATGACGCATACTGGAAGAATCTCGCATCTAACAAGTATGGTGATACCCGCTACCAGGACGAGGATGAGGATGAGGATGAAGCAGAAGATGATGACGAGGAAGATGAGGGGGGGAAGGATTCTGACGCGGAGTCATCAGATTTGTTTACCAGCTTGAATCTAGGAAGGACTTATGCCAGCGGCTATGCTCACTACGAGGAACAGGAGAGCTAGGCGAGCTGCTGGGGGAGGTGCTGTGTGCCATGTGTGCGCTGGATGAAACCTGTGGGTTCCAAAGTAGTCACTAGGCCTGTGCAGAAGACTAGCCGTGCTTAAAGGGGTAGGAGCCGGGGAGAGCAGTTTTTATAGGAACTCATAGTCAGACTTATAAGAAAAAATTGAGTTCCAGTGTAAATTCTTACTGATTGAAGCATCATGATCACTATTGATTTCTGTAGTCTAGTAGTGGGTCTTGTCAAAGAAACCCATATACAGGATAAAGGAATAGGATGCTAATATATTTGAATTTAAATTGCTCTCTTTATAACAAAGCATCACTTATCAATTCATTGTCTAGTTTTATAAAATGTAATGGATAAAATGAATTGCTGTATTTTCCCTTGTATGTCCACAGAATAAAAGTAATGTGCTATGGTCTAAATTTTCATTGCATATCCATGTTAGCTTACATAGTCACGATATGTATGTTTCAGTAGTTGACTTATGTCTTTACAGTATGTGGCCAGAACCATACTTGTCATCAATGCCTGAATGTAGACAAAGGTGACTACTCACTCACTTTTCAGTGACACAGAGTCACCAATAGTGAATTATGTAGATGCTTTGCCCCAAATTCCTTGAATAAAACTGGTATTTCACTTACATACTTCTGATACTTTATTTAACTTTGATTCTGATATTTCATTTTGTGTTCCTAATTTTTTAAAACTAATTTTTAAAAGCATTTAGAGATACTTGATTCAATGACCTCATTTAATTCATTTGATATGCCAGAGAGGTAGAGGAGATTAACAGTGTAGCAGATAAAAGAGGTGCTGGCTGGACCATTATTGGTGTTCAGTGAAGGCTAGACAGTCCTTGGCATCAGATCCAGTTGTTACAAGTTAACACTGGCAATAAATTGGGATGGTGTCTTGGTAATAAGGGATGCATTAGCGTGTGTCTTGGTTATAAGGGATATCATCACTTTGAAGTGTATGGAGAAAAATTGTAGCTATGAGAACACACGGTTGAATGGTTATTGCTAAGCCCTTGTTATAGGCACATGAACAGCTGAGGGCAATCATAGACCTTTGAAAGTTAGGTGTAAAAGACAGAGAACAGTTGGTTGGTTGCCTATTAAAAATATTTAATCTCTTGCAGTAGGAGGGCTGAAAACACTTGAGGACCAAGCTCCGGATTTACTAGTCTGGATGGATAAACTTCAGACAGTTGGCAAGCACTGTGGGTCTGCTCTGCCAAGATCAGGGCTCTGTTTTAGGAAAGCAAACGCGGAATAAGTGAGATGGAGCTGTCTGAAGATGTTTACTTCCTAGGCTCCTCCCCTTTCGGAGCCTGTGGTCGGAGTGCACCACTGCCTATTCAGAGCAGTTACTCCCACTCTGCCTTGCATAGGTCTTTCCCCCAGGCAACATGCGACCTCGGGACCCGACTGACATTGTGGCCATACACTTTAACTATAATTAGTGTTAAGCAAAACTTTGAAGATGGTGCTGGGCTGGACTTTACCTCAACAAAGTTGCAAGAATCAAGCATGAGGAACTGGTAGAACCCTGGGGCTGGAACCTGAGATTGTTGGATCAGTTGTAAGTTTTAAGAACCTGGCAAGAGGTCTGAAATCATGGACTAGCAGTGGCCCATCCTGAACAAACGGAATTGCTGGGGTTGTCTTAGTGAAGGAAGGGATGAAAACGTCGAGGGAGGTGGGTCAGCTAGCATAAAGAGACTTCAGCTGAGAGCTACAGATGGTTATAGTCTGTAGGAAGGGACATGATTTAGCAAGTTCATAAAGACATGCACTGATGAGCACAAGCATTACTCAGAAGTTCAGCAAAGGCTCCGTACTGGTAGTACACCAACTCTTGAGCACCTCCACTTGCTTATGGCAAAGGGGATGATAAGACCATGAAACTTCAACTGCCAAGAGTCTAGGAGATGCAGCTATTCTAATGTATGTTAAGGTGAAAGCGATGACCCAAGGTTCCAGTTGATTCTGATTCATAGTGACTTGTGGGAGAACCATGGTATGTCTGGTGAGTTTGAAATGCTGACCTCGTTAGCCCAATGCCTATTCCATGGTGCTACCAGAGCACCTATGCACAGTAGTAATTCTCACAGTGCTTCCACAAAGGGACCTGCAGACATTTTACTTCGGTAATTCTACCTGTGGTAAGAGGAAATACAAGACACTTTGAGGGCTGAACTGACGCGTAGTTGTAGAAACCAGGAAGTTCAAGTCCAGCAGGTTCCAGCTCTGGGTTACAAGTTAAGCTGGAGGCCTTTTCCTGATGAATCCAAGGTCAGCAATAAGACCATAGACTCTTGGCCATAGAGGCAGATGAATACACGGTCAATGGATCAGAAAGCAGGCCTCTGATAACACCCAGGATGGGCAGGCAATGTGGCACACTGTTGACTCAAGGTCAAAGAAGTATAGGTAAATGAGGCAGTTCCAAGATCCAGACCCAGCAAAACCCAAAACAAACTTTTCCGTTGGGTCCTTTTATTGGAAGGAGGCCACACCCCTAAGGAAATATCCTTTTAAATGCCTCAGGGCGAGAGCATAAGGGAGTTATAGTCCATCCTAATCTTAGCGTATTATAGAGGTTTACAGTTGACCGGCTTTGACTACATTGTTAGTTGAGGTCATGAATGTTTACTAACCCTAAGTGCCAAATCACTGAATATCCTGGCCCAGCAAGTTGACACAAAACCACACCCCCTCACAAAAATAAATACTCCCATGTTTGCGAAAACAACAAGGCTCTGGAAATTGACTGAATACAAACAGAAATGTCAACAAATGAATACAAATTTGGAATTGTGCACTTCCCTGTGCCAAGACATTTTAAAGAGCTACCAGCTAACCACTGGGTAAAAATCTTATTTGGGCCCTCCAAAAGTTGATCCAATAAAATCTGATGAATATCAGGAATTCCACACAGAAGTAAAATCCTCCTGGCTCTAGTGTTTAAAATAGTTAACAGCAGTACGTTGATGGGACTTGCAGAACAAAATACCGCCCAGTCCTGTTCTCTTGTTGCAATCATTGCTGTGTTTGAGCCTAGTGTTGCAGCTGCTGTGGTAGTTCATCTTGTTCAGGGACTTCCTGTTGTTTGCTGGCCCTCCACCAAGCATGCTGTCCTTTCCAGGACTGATCCTCCTGAGAGCATGTCCAAAGTATGTGAGCACAAGTCTCTCCATTCTTGGTTTTAAAGGTCATCCTGGTTGTATTTCTTTCATAACGTGTTTGCTCTTTCTTTTGTGTGTGTGTGTGTGTGTGTGCTTGCTCTTTCAATCCACAGTATATTCAATATTTTTTCCAATGCCATGATTCAAATGCGTTAATTTTCTGCTCTTATTTATGGTCTAACTTGGCCTTCCTTCAGACATCCACCAATGTTTGGTGAAGTTAACGCTGCCCTTAAATCTTTTTGTAATGCTCCCTGCATTATTTAATATTTTGTCCAAAGCGTCTACCGATATTTCAGCTCAGGCTTGAATGTTTTTTCCCCAGTGTTTTTAGTTTGAGAAATGTGAATCGTGTCTTTCAGCTTTCTAACTCCAGGTCATTGTACATTTCATTATAATACTTTATCTTGTTGAGCTGCCCTTTGAAACTTTCTGTTCAGTTATTTTACATCATCATTTCTTTCAGTTGCATTTACTTCAAAATGCTCAAAAGCAAGTTTTGGAGTCTCTTTGGACATCCAATTTGGTATTTTCTTCCATCTATATGTTTTATATAAATTTGTAGATAAGTATATATATATTTAATTACTCTTTGCTTCATGTAGGTGTTCTAGATGCCATCCCACAACTCATCTGCTCTTTATTCATGTTCAGTGCATCAAGTCTGTTCTTGAAATGATCTCTAAATTCAAGTAGGATGTACTCATGGTCATATTTTGGCTCTTGGGGACTTTAACATTTTTCTTCAGCTTCAACCTGATCTTACTTTGAGCACCTGATATCTATTCTGCAGACAGCCCCTGGCTTTGTTCTGGCTGATGATATTGAACTTCTCCATTAGAGCTTTCCACAGGTGTAGTTTATTTCATTCTGCTATAGTCCATCTGGTGAGGTCTATATGTGTAGCTGCTATTTATGTTGTTTTTAAAAAAAAGTATTTGCAATGAATAAGTTGTGGTTTTGCAAAATTCTATCATTCAATTTCCTCACCATTTTCATTTCTTTTACCAAGGCCTTATTTTCCAACTCCTGATCCTTGTTCTGAATTTCTAACTTTTACATTCCAAATGTAATTATCAATGCATCTTGATTCCATGGTTAATCCATTTCAGACATGAAATTGATAGAATTCATCAGTTTCTTCATTTGTTTGGTGTGTAAATTTGAGTAATCACATTAGCTGGTCTTCCTGGTAGGCATGCAGATATAATCCTCTTTCTGATGGCATTACACTTCCGAGTAGATCTTGAAATGTTTTGTTTGACACAGCACGTGATGCTATTCCTGTTCATTTGCCCCGTGAACCAGTGTGCCAGTTAAAAATGGCCAGCAGCACTCATTCGGCTCACTGATGCCTAAGATAGCAATCTTTATGTGTTCCATTGCACTTTGATGACTTCCAATTTTCATACTTTGCACATCCCGGGCTTTTGTTATTCTTGGTTATTTGCAATTGTTTCTTCTCAGTTTGAATCATACTCCCTCAGGAAAGGAAGGTCCTGGGACTTATGCTCTGTCATGTTATTAAGGTGGACTGCTTTGAAGAGGTAGCTGTCCCCACTCACATGTGAGTGCCTTCCAACTTGAAGAGCTTATCTTCTGGAACTATCTTAGGCAGTGTTCCACTTCATGTGGTTTTGATGTAGGTAGATTGTCAGATATGGATGCCTCTTTCTTAGTGCTAGTCTGTCTTACTGTAGGTGACACTGCTAATATTTGAAATACTGATGGTATAGCATCCAGCATCCAGGCACCGCACAAGTCACTACAGTGTGAGAAATTAGAGACAGTGGTAGTGGTAAGATAGATGGGTCCTGGAAAAGGACTTCAGATGACTATAAATTCAACCAAGTATTAGCCCTAATTGCAACCACTATGCTATATAGGTATATTTCTTAAAGCAGGTATGTTCAGCTCCATATACATAGCATGCAGTCTTTTATTTTGTGGATACATTCCCGTCTATTCCATTCAGAGATTGTGCATGCACATGGAATGGATGTATACATTCATTGGTTTATCCCAGGGCACTGTTATGTATTCTAGCTAATCCTGAAGAACATGGATACGTGTCATGCTGATGAAACTGGATGAGTAGGAAATGACCAGAACCCTGAGACCTTGGTAAGACATACTTGGTCCAGTATGAAGGAGATAAACCTTATAAATTTGTCACACCCATAAAATGTAGGGGTCCATTTGCCAAAGACAGGGAGGCGCATTACTGGCAAAGTAAAGAACAAATTGCTCCCTATACCTCCTCTGATCAATAAGGAAGCACGGTATCTGGTTAACACCCTTGGGTTCTTGAGGAAACATTCCACACTTGAGGACGGTAGCCTGACCCATTTACTGGTTGATGCAAAGTTGGTCACCTTTGAGTGGGGGCACCACAGGAAAGGGCTCAGTCAGCGATGGGTCTAGGCAGCAGCTTCAGCAAGCCGGGCCCA